TCTCTCTCTCTACTTTCAAAATCTATTTAAAACTCATAACAACAAACAAAATGTCCAAAGTTGTCCTGAAATTAACTTATAAATAAACAAAACTTTATACTTATGCAAACAACATTGAATCTGGACTTGACATTATTCTGATTAGGCCTCGCCTACATTGCAAATAAGCAGACAGCGCTACTTTTCGCGCTGCTTTTCACACACACACACACACACATTCCTCTTGTTTCCTCCGCCACATCTCCTCCGTCCATACCTCTGGGAAAGGTGAGCTTGAGCTAGCCAGGGGAACGTTGCTAGCGCAGCTAACGTGCACGTTAGCTAGCATTATCCACGTCTTTAGGCGGCTCTTCTGGTGATGTATTACTAGCAGCTTCACTTGTAGCTTCGGTGCTGCTAGCCTCTTTCTTCTTGTGAATTATATTCTTTTTAGAAAATAAGTCAAGTAAAACATGTTAGCCTGCCATTATAGAGCTTTTTCGTTAGTGTTCTTGACAGTGGCGAGCCGTGACTTTTATACCTAGGCCCTCTGACCCCCCTTCCCTCGAAAAAAAGAAGAGATATTACGTCTCAACGTAGACTTCAGCGGAATATCAAAACAGTGGTCCGGGGTGCAAAATGCATCAATGACAGCGACCCTCTACCACACAAAACAACACCATTTATATAAACACCTATCATGACAGGGCAACCCACAGCCAAGTAGCGATTACAAATGAATTTAAGTCGGCACGGCGGCCCACATTGAAAATGACTTAGGCCTACCTTTGATGATCAAATCACTGAAACACAAAGTCCATCCTCCTGTCCTTTTGGATGAAGCCCTTGATGGCAGGTCATTCAGCTGATCCTATGCCACTCCAGTTTATCATTGTAACTCAATCTTGAAAATGACTCGGTTAATAATTTCGCAACGATGTCATCACTATCACTGATGTCATCACTATCACTGAAGAGAGACATCATGCTAATCATAAATCTATCGATCATAAATCTATCGATTAGATTTATGATTCAAAAATAGTAAAAGTAGGATAGACATGTGGATATTATCCGGCTGAACACAACGTGCATTTATCTAACAGGTTCGTTTTCCACAGACCTTATTTCGAGCTATTTTCCAAAATCCTATGGAGAAATCCCACTGCTTTCTGTCGAGGGAATCCAAGCGCAGCTTACTTCCGGGTTTTAGAACGCGTCACTGCACCACTTGCATAGACCTCACAGCGGGCGGAACTTGTCATAAAGTCCGCGAAAATAAAGCCCGCCCATTTAGAGGGAAGATATGATTGGTCAATTGTACTGTCATTTGACATTACTCTCTCGTTGAGTTACTATAGCTGGCCCTTTGTGAATGTAGAGAGGGACCAACAAGCTCTCCCGTCTTCATATAACTCGCAGAGACGGCCTTTAACCCTTCACATTCCAACAGAAACTGAACAGGCAGATTCGAAGGATTTATTTCTTTGGAAATATTATTTTAAATACAATTAAATCAAGTTATTTTGGTAAAACTAATGAAAATTTTGTAACAACAAAAAAATATAATAAATTATTTTATTTTTTAAATGTTTTTTTTTAATGTTTTCAAATATAATTTTTTAGAATATCTTAGGCCCTCACAGAGGCCTGACGGCTCGCCACTGGTTCTTGAGGGAAAGAGCTGCCGCAAAATCGCGGCGGGCGCGGGCGAGATGGCTCGCAGTGGGTTGTGTCAGTGGGACCGCGGGGTCACGAGCGTGATGATGAATCATACTTTTTTAAGGAAATCGTTTTTATTTTTTATTATAATTACTGTGAAGTGTATTATGTTTTCGTCATTATTACAATAAATACACACTTGCAACTGATAACACTGGCAATGATTTTATATTTATTAGACTTAAAAAAAAGATCATGCTCCAAATAAGTGGGGGTACGGTGTACCCCCGCGTCCAACGCCCACTACACCACTGTTCATGTGTGCATTTAGGTTCTGTGTTTTCTGTTAGTCTTTGTTAGTTCCTTGTTGTAGTTTGACGTTGTTCACGGGGAAGAGTTCTGTTTTGCTCTGTCTTTAAGCCTTGAAATAAAGGTATTTTCTGTTTATCTGCATTTGGGTCCTGCCTGCTTCGCTCTCAACCCTGACAGTCTGGGTTTCATTTTTTAACACTGGGTCACTACAGTCTGCCCCTGGTTCTGTCCAGACTGCAGAGAACAGAGGGAAGCCCCGTGGCAGATGGCCAGAGAGGGGTTTCATAGCTTTCCACCAAACTGTTTAACCCTTAAAGGCCGAGCGTGCCGCCCGCGGCTTCAAAGAGGTAGCGTTCTAAAATGCTTAATAACTTTGTAACCGCTAATCCTATCCATCTGATTTAAAAAGTGAGGTAAAGCGGCTATTCTAGGCTTTTTGCTGGTATCACTATGTCCTTTTCCGGGATTCAGAGGCTCCGACGTGATCGGGGCAACGTTATCACATTTTACAGCCTTGATTCGTCAAGGAGACCCACGCGGCCCCTCTGTCTGAGCCAAACAGCAAAGGTTTTAGACTAAGTCCCACCCCCCTGTGTCCGGATAGGTTTAAAAGGGTAAAGGTCCAGGCAAACCTCTGCCCATGCTACCATCTTCTCGACCAATCAACATAGGTTGCTGTGTATGTTTTTGGCGGCGGGAGATAAACAAAGAGAAACAGAGAGACGAGAGAGTAATACTAAAGAAGAGTAATTCTGCCAGCGTAAGAGAAATAAATACAACACGAGATATCTAGATACAGTCACACACACACACAAATACACATACATACACACACACACATATCCCAAGACAAATTCAAACCAACATGTCAAAACGGCGTTACACTACGGAAGAAGCCGTAGAATTTATGTTGTCTGGCGGACCGCTTAGCGATGCAGCGGTGGATTCCTCAGATTCTGAAGCTGACAACTGGCAAGGAAGAGGAGTATGATCACGGGATTGATCCCTTCGAAGATAAAAAAGTGAGTAACTTTGCTTATTTCTTATTGTTTGTGTTGCATTTATCGGTTGTTGTTTCTGTATAACGCCGAAAAATAATTAGTCCTAAGAGTTTTTATAATGGATGGCCATTTGCCGTAATTGTGTCATAAAGTGAAGTCCTGAGCTCAAGATTCACTATCAATAGAGGCTACTATTTATTTCAGTAAAAAAACGTCAAGCAATACCTTTCATTTATTGCCTCATTCCGCTTGCCCTCTTTGGTTGTTTGTTATGAGGTCTAATGTTATTATATTCATTGCATTACAATTCAGTTACTGATTCCATCAACTAGTAATGTTAGCAGAGGGATAAAGTGTGAATCAAATCAAAAGTTGAGACTGTGTTTAGAAAACAGATAGGATGACACTGGAGAAATAAAAGCAATAAAGGAAATAAAATAAATTCAGACATTTATATCTGTATATTTTCCTCCCTTTTATTTTAGTACAGAGGATGAGAGAGGGGATGCACAAGCCCCTGTCCCCATCAGTAGGCCTCCTTCAAACCGAGAGGGAAAAGAATGCGGCCAGGAGGGTGCAGCATCCAGAAAAAAGGCCAAACCAATGCCAGCCCCCCTGACAGTGAAAGGGAGAGGGAGAGGAAAAGGGAAAAAAACATCTCTGACCCCAGAAGAGCCAGGTTTGGAACGGACCTGAGGTGCCAGATACTGCCCAACAACTACCACACTTTTGCCCGAAAAGAGCCCCTGGAGTCCAAGGTTTTGTTGGTGTGGAGTATACTCCTGCACAAATATTTAGAAATTGTTTTAACAACCAAGCTGTAAATATCATCTGCAAGAACACAAACAAAAATGCTGAAAAGGAGCAGGCTAAGGGGGAAAAGTTTGTTTGGGAAAGCCGGTAAAATTCCTCATGTATGTCGGCCTTATGGCACTTCTAAAACTGCTAAAAGTAAGTGACTACTGGAGGAAGGGATCACACCTGAGTGTTCTCTTTCCTGCTCCTGTCATGACAAGAGACAGGTTCATGGCAATCAGCAGAGCTGTACATCTGAGCGACCCAGACCATGATGAATCTTGATACATTTCCTTTGCTCTTTATATATTTTTCTAATATTTTGGTTATAGTTTGAAGATCATTTGCTCTTTGTACTTTTGCACTTTCTATATATTCCTAATACTTTGTTTATAGTTTTAATATAATTTGCACTTTGTTAATTTGCACTTTGAATTTGTTTCACTGTTTGTGTTTGTATTTCAATGTTCAAATGATAATATATATCTCTGAAACAAGTTATTTTTGTTGCAATGTCATCTGTTATGGTTTAATTGTTTACTCTCTCAACCTTTTTTTGACAGAAGAAACATGATCAGTCATTTAAATATGGAAATACATTTCGTTTTAATTATTCCATATGATCCTAGGCGTTTTTCACTGAAAAACGCCTAGGATCATATTGTAATAAATAGCTGTAACTTGCTCAGGGAACATAATATGCAGATGAAATTTAATTTGAAAGCCTAAAACATCTAAATGCAGCTTTGTAAATAATAAAAAAGAAAATTCCTATGTTCCTGGCGGAGTAAACAGTAAAAAAACACAACATTTGTACTGGCGTTTTTGAAAAGTGCTGGTAAATTCAGCCATTATCACACAAAGTTATGGTAAAATTTGGACTTCAAATTAGCAGGACTTGAACTAGAGGTTCTCCTGAATCAAATGAGGTAAGGCACTTGATGCTGACTGCAAGAAAAGGTTAGAACAGGTTAGGAGAAACAAATAAATACAGGAGAGTCAGGCAGGCGAAAATTCCGTCTAGGTCTTTAAGGGTTAAGTGTCTGTGGTTCTCTAAATGGACATATGGCACTACAGTGTCCCCAGCCACAGTTGCAAAGCCTGCCTATTATAAGAAACTTTGGGGTTGTTTTTCTGCAAACTCACTTACAAGTAATGGTCGGTTTTTGGGCATATTTCTGAAAGCGTACTTACCATTTTTAGGATAATAGCCTGCTGACTTAAGCATTAAGATCAAAACACAGCCGTGCCTAAATATGGCCTCAAAGACTGCTAGCCTGGCTGAATTAGTATAATGTTTTATGGTCACATACTGTCTGTACATTACCGTAAGTAATGGTATATGGACTGCGTTTATTCCCAGTCTTTATGACCCTTCAATGAACATTTACACATACAATTAGCATTCACACACATTCAGAGAGACAGGGATGACATACTGTACAAGCTGCCACCTACTCAGGGATACTAACGTCCACACACATCCACGCACATCCACACACATCCACACACATTCACGCACATCCACGCACATTCACACACATCCACACACATTCACACACATCCATGCACATTCACACACATCCACGCACATCCACGCACATTCACACTCATGCACATTCACACACATCCACGCACATCCACACACATCCACGCACATTCACACAAATTCACACACCGTTGGCATTATATATATTGTTAAAGAGTACAGATATATTTAGAATATTTGATACCTACTGTAGAGATTATAAAAAAAGTATTTGACTGGCAAAAAAAGATATAGTGATATGATTTTTATCTCTCACCGCCCTATGAAGGCTTATCTTTCCCATTGTTCACTTCTCAGGCTGAGTTCACACAACCGCCTCAGGGAGCAAGATTATTAAGCAAAATGAGATCTGAATGAACTCTGGCTGGCCCTTCTTGATGGTTGTTCTTTTTTTTTTTACGTCATGTATGTCACCATGGAGACCCACGTTGCACGGCTAACATACCACAGAGCAGAGCATCTTCAGGCTGACAGATGTATAGAAGCATGAATCTAAACTAATCAAGTCCCTCCGGTCCACTGTGATGCTCAATGAACATTCTCCTCTTCCCCTGATGATTCATTATATCACACACTGAACATTTAATGTGTTTCATACTTATAGGCTGTTTTGCCACACTGGCTGCTAAAACAGTAAATGTATAACTTACATTGGTTACATAAACCATAGCTTTCATCATGATTTGACTTTTACTGATGCTGTGCTCTGACATTCATACAATTTCCAGAAGTAACTGATGCAATTTATTGTCACAGCTGCACTGGGGAGCCTGAGGCCAACTATTGAACTCCAAGTAATGTCAGTCCTAATATGATAGCATAGCATTTCATCAATGAGAAGCACTCTAGCTGTGCCTTAGTGCCTAGGTACTGAAGCACAAACCTGTTTACACCATCTGAAATGTACCCCCAGTAATCCTCTATAGGTCTAGAGCCAACAGTATTACTTTTCACTGTTAACAATGTTTGTTATTGATCCTTCTTCAGAGAAAGACAGAAACATTCATCCATGCTTACCCCAAACGTTTGGCTTTTGCCCAATTTTATATTCCATTATGCCTGATTCAGTCCTTTTATTGCATTTCATTTCCCTCGCTGAATAATCTACTCGCAGTTATGACCTCATTTCCCAAGGGAAATCAATAAAAGTTGGGTTATCTTAAACCTACTGCTTAACTTAAGCCCAGATGAAGGGGTTGTTTACTGTCTTTAGAAAGCTTGCCCGCCAATTGGAGAGAGACCGCATTAACAGTTATTTTCATCCCTTATTTGGATCGGCTACCAGATTTGTATTCTGTTTGCGTTTGTTAAATTGTTACTGAAGTTGAGCATGTGGGTGTCAGCCCCCTCTCTGTCCACATATTCATGAGTTGATTCCTCTTGGCCAGTTAAGTAAGCTAATACTTACTGATAAAAGTTGGTCTTACAAGTCAGTAGAGAGAGAATCACTTATTGTATGCACCTCATGTGATTTTGAGTCCACCTTCTTGTCCAGGGTATCAAGTCTGACAGCGGATATTTGGAAAGGGCCTCTGTTAGCTGAGCGAACTGTGGCACTGAAGCTTTTGTCATCTCTTCAGGTAAGCCTGCAGCTTTTCAGGCTGCTTCTGATGTGTTGTGTTTGCACTTGTTATATTTGATCTCGACATCACAGTGAATTTACATTATTTAAGTTTACAAAAGGTAAGGTTTGTCACCCTAACAGAACAGGCCCTAACCGTACTGAATATCCTTTATGACAAAAGGCTTGGTTTTCTTATATTTATTATACGTGGCAATCGATTTTATTCTGATGTTTTTATTAACAGAATTTGAGTCTAACAATAAAGATGAACTAACCGATAAAAATGTCTCAATAAATGTGTACATCTGTGTTTGGGGTAAGTAATAGTTAAGTAACAATCAAGAAATTAATAAGGAATTAAGGAATACCTCAATAAATGTACGTGAGGTTTTCTGATATAACGTAAGTGGTATGTTAATTGTAGGGCACAACACTGGCAAAGTAAAAAATCCTCACCTGTATTAGATAACCCTTCGGTGTAAGCACCAAGATGAGTGTGTCCCATCTAGGCAGCCACGATGATTTAAGGGTCACAACTCACTGAGTTGATCCCATTGCATTGTCTAAAGAATGAGGATTTGTTGCCTTTAGGTGCATTGAAAGACTTGATGATTTGTGGGACGCTGTAGTTCAGGCTCGTCCATAGGGTTAATGGATGTGAGGGGGTCATTAATCTCTATAAGGAGAGGAAATGGCTCAGGTATACAGGGCATGTTAAGGCAGGCCCATCTCAGATGATGCATCATCACCAGCGCTCTGCCTCTTTGCACACTCGTCTTTGTTTTCACGTTCGACAGGATCCCATAACTCCGTCAGAGCCTCATAAAAAACAGGAACAGCGAAAGTTGCGGTAACACTACCTAAAATCACTCTCTGGCTGAAATACTCTTGCGAATACAGATGACAAGCACCATAATGTTACTTTTGTATTGCTTATATAATGGGTCATATCTCCAAGGGAAAGACAGGGAAATTGTCTTCTAATGAGTATGGGTTATTTCTTTCTCCGTTTTGTTGCATAGTAGTGGACAGACGTAAAAGAAGAAAAGGATAACAAGGGTGAAACTCAGGACAGCGGTGTTACTCTCTCTCTTTAATATATGCATGTACACTGTTTGTACAGGACATTTAGTTATTATTAGCATACAAGCTGGAAACAGGCAAAATAACACCCTGCAAAATGTATTTTACACTTTTATTATGCATTACTTTTAACTATATTTTTGATATATTTCTATATATTTTGCTTGTGTCGTTTCTTTACGATATTTTCCAAATACTATACTGGGTACTTTTTTCTATGTCGTTGTTTAGATGTTGTTTGAATACTTTTAAGCTTCCAAATTGAACTTTTTATGAACTGACCAAATAGACTTATTTTGTGAGACTTATAATAGGGAACATTAAGAGTTTCAAATGATTGCATAAGATGTTCAAGAATGACATTTTGGCTAATTTAACGATATAATTAACTAACTACCTCTTTAAAATCTGGGTTGAAAAGACTAATAATTATAGTAATGTTTAATCATTTCAAAGTTATGCTTACAATTCTTGACATTTCTAAATTATATGAATTAGCATTTAAAGATCTGGGTCTTAATCATGTTGGCTGATTATTCCTGGTTTAAAAGTTCAAGGGTAGTCAATAGCAAAGTTGATCAGAGCTGTATTTTATTTATTGTTTTTGGAGAACAGAGAGGGGTAGAGCGATGGAAGGCTTCCAGTTAGACATATCTATATTCAGAGTTGATTTATCAAAGATGGAATATAAATGGAAAAGGTGGATTGACTCTACTGACCTTAAGTAGAAAGGTTAGGATGGCCTTGGAAAACTCCTGTTCTGTTCAAGTTACTCAAGGCAAGGCATGTTTATTTATATAGCACTTTTCAACACAAGGCAATTCAAAGTGCTTTACAACAAATGAAAGACATTAAGAAAATGGCATTTAAAATCAGTCATTAAAAAGAAAAGCTAATAA